GCCACCCCTGCCTCGGACCCTTGGGGGGGACCTCCTGTTCCTCCAGCTGCTGATCCCTGGGGTGGCCCGGCCCCTACCCCGGCCTCCGGGGACCCCTGGAGGCCTGCTGCCCCTGCGGGGCCCCCGGCTGACCCTTGGGGTGGGACCCAGGCCCCTGCAGCTGGAGAGGGGCCCACCCCTGACCCGTGGGGGAGCTCAGACGGTGAGTGCCAGCCCCGGCCCCGGGCGCAGTCCTGGGCATGAGGTAGCTCCAAGGAGACAGCCTAGTGGGGGGTTGGGGGGGCGGAGGCGGCCGGAAGGTCACGGGGAGGCTGGTGGACAAGGGGAGGTCTTCCTGGCTGGACGCTGAGCCTGATGGGGGGAGGGGCTGGGCCTGGCACAGAGGGGTGAGGGCAGGGGGCCTGGAGCCACGGATTCGAGGGGACAACCCCCATCTGCCACAGGTGGGCCCAGCCCCTCACGCGCCTCCTTCTCACCAGGTGGGGCCCTGGTCGGTGGGCCCCCAGCTGCTGATCCCTGGGCCCCAGCCCCGGCCTTCTCGGACCCCTGGGGGGGGTCACCTGCCAAGCCCAGCACCAACGGCACTGCAGGTACTGGGCGGGCGCAGAGTTGCGAGTGAAGAGTCGCCTAATCCCTGCTCAGGGAGGGGAGGGCGGGCGGCCCCGGCAGCTGAGTGTCCCTCCCGACCCCCATGGCCCTGTGACCCCCACAGTGGTCGGGGGCTTCGACGCAGAGCCTGACGAGTTCTCTGACTTTGACCGACTACGCACAGCCCTGCCGACCTCAGGGAGCAGCACAGGTGAGCTCCCGCCGTGCCCGCCCCCCGTGGCCCCTACCCCGTGCCTGCTCCCCGAGGCCCGCCCAGGTAGGGTCAGAGTTGGCGGGTGTGCAGCCTGGCCAGGCCCAGGGCCCATCTTGTATAAAAACAGCTTTATTTATTGAATCTAACTGACCGTCCCCGTCCCCATCTTCAACAACAAACGTTAGCTGTGTCGTGAGATGATTTCAGGCTTAGAGGAAAGTGGGACAACAGCATAAAGAGGATCCTTCCTTGGGCTCAGCCCGGCCTCTGGCCTCCCTGCCCCGGGAGCTTCTCCCAGGTGCCTCCCTGTGTGCCCTGCGCAGCCCTCCCTCACCTGCCCTGCCCCCTGCCCCCTGCCCCTACCCCTACCCCCTGCCCGGGGGCAGGTAGCACCGTGTTCCCGCAGTCTCTGGGGAACACCTCTGGTTTGGGTCTCTCTGTGGCCCCTGTGGTCCCTCTTGCAGTGAAGCGGGGCCCCTGGGGCTCCCGGGTGCCTGTCTCAGCACTAGATGGGGTTCCTGAGTCAGCTTTTACACCAGACGGCCAAGGACGCGGCCCCCAGCCCGCCTGCCTGCCCGCCCGCCTGCCACCGCGTGTGGGCCCAGCAGGCTCTGCTCTGGAGGTCGCCACGTGGTCCCCTGCCCTGGGCCTGGGGCCTGGCTCTGCCGCTCCACCCTGTGCCCTCTGCCCTCCCAGGGGAGCTGCAGCTGCTGGCCGGGGAGGTGCCCGCCCGCAGCCCCGGGGCCTTCGACTTGAGCGGGGTCGAGGGCTCTCTGGCCGAGGCTGTGGGGAGCCCCCCGCCCAAGGCTGCCCCGACCCCCACGCCGCCCACACGGAAGACGCCGGAGTCATTCCTGGGGCCCAACGCAGCCCTCGTGGACCTGGACTCCCTGGTGACTCGGCCAGGCCCCACGCTGCCGGGAGCCAAGGCCTCCAACCCCTTCCTGCCCAGCGGTGAGTGGCCTCGGAGCCGGGGTGCTGGGGGCCCCTCCCTTGGGCAGGAACAGGGGTGCTGGGCCCCCCGTGGGCAGGGGGGTGTGGGGGGCCCCTCCCGCAGGCAGGCCCTGACTGCGCTGTGCGCATCTCTTCTCCTGCAGGAGCCCCGGCCACCGGCCCCTCCGTCACCAACCCCTTCCAGCCCGCGCCCCCTGCGACGCTCACTCTGAACCAGCTCCGGCTCAGCCCCGGGCCCCCGGTCCCGGGGGCACCACCGACATACATCTCTCCCCTGGGCGGGGGCCCAGGCCTGCCCCCCATCCTGCCCCCGGGTCCCCCGGCCCCCAACACTAACCCCTTCCTCCTATAAGCTGGGCTGGGGCTTGGCCTGGCCAGCCCCGCCGCTGCCTGGGACACCAGTGTTGTGAGTGCATGTGAAGCGGGCCCCAGCGCCCTCCCTCCTGGGGCCATTCACACTACACCTCTTCTCACCCACCGCCGCCCCAGAAACGACCTGGGGGATGGGGAGGTGCCGGCCAGAGGAGAACCCCGCCCGTGGCATTAGAAGGAGGGACAGCAGGCCCCGTCCCCCTCCTCCCGCTCCTGACTGGCCCCTTGATCAGTGTTGAGCCTCCTCCCCGCACACCCTCGGTGAATCCTTGGTGATGATTTTGGCAACTTCGGGAATAAATGGCAATTCTCATGGGCGTGGCTCCCACAGTTCCCATCCGTCCTTCACGTGGCCCTTCACCTGGAGGCCCAGGGTGTGGGGGCAGCACCCCTGGTTTCTGACCTTCTGGACCTGGGGGCGGGGTGTGGGGTGCAGGGCCAGGTGTCCCGCCTCCACAGCCTTTGTTCTTGCCCGGGAGACAACTTGGCACAGGTGAGGGGACGGGTGCAGAGCACAGTCACGGGCCGAGGGAGCGGAGGGAGCGGCTGAGCTGGCCGGGGTGGCCTGTGCCCCCAGAGCAGCCGGCGTGGCCTGTGCCCCCAGAGCAGCCGGGGTGGCCTGTGCCCCCAGAGGGGGGTAGCGGGAGTGGCGTGGGTGAAGGCCCTGTGGCTCACTAGTTGACGGGATGGGCTGGCAGGGCCATCGGGACAGGCCTGGGCTGTGGAGCCCTCGGCTGCTTCAGGGCCTGGTGCTGGGAGTGTCTCCTGGGCCTGGGGAGGCGGGGCCCAGTGAGGGGGTGGGGGGAGGCCTCCAGGCCACTGCTTGCCTGGAGCTGCCTTCCAGTCTTTAAAGAAGTCGGCCTCTACTCCAAGGTTGCAGGTTCGATCCCGGGCCAGGGCGCATAATGTGTTAACAAGTAGGACAGCAGCCCTGGCCAGTTGGCTCAGTGGATAGAGCGTCGGCCTGTGCACTGAAGGGTCCCGGGTTCGATTCCCAGTCAGGGGCACGTGCCTGGGTTGCAGGCTTGATCCCCTGTGGGGGATGTGCAGGAGGCATCCGATCCATGGTTCTCTCCCTCTCTGAAATCAATAAAAATATATTTAAAAAGTAAGTAGGACAATAAATCAACCTCTCCCTTCCCCTCTCTAAAACCAATAAAAGTTTAAATAGGGAAGGCAGTGAAATAAAGCGAACTGTGGTCTCTCTGCGTGCTTGTCTCGGGGGAGGGGGGCAGGACCCTGCGCGGGGCAGGCTCTGGCCCAGGCAGGTCTGCAAAGCCGCCGCCTCCCGGAGCCTGCGCAGGAGATTCCAGAACATTCCGGCCTCCGCTTCCCACTGGAGCTGCCACGGGGTCCCGACCCACCCCTGCCCCGAGGCCTGGGCACCGGGCTGGCAGGGGCCGGTCCCTCCTGGGTGTTGGAGGGTCATTCTTGCCTCGCTGGTTCACTTCCGCTTCGCGTGCCTCCCTTTTCCTTCCATTTCGTCTCCAGGGCCCGCGCGGGTCAGATGTCGGGCTTGGGGTCAGGCCACCCGGCCTTTACGGGCTGTGAAGGGTCGCGGGGGTGCGGTTCTGCCCAGGGCGGCCCCTGTCCAGACGGCGGGAGTGGACGGGCGCCCGCCGAGAGGCGGGGCTGCGGGGCCACCGGGGTTCAGGCCCGGGGCGGGCGCTGTGCGGTCTGCGGCCGGCAGGGGGCGCCCGAGACCAGCCCAGTCTCCGGCCGGCGCCTGGGAGCTCGGCCTCCAGGCGGCCGGGCGGTCCCGGGGCGCGGCCCACGCACCGGCCACCGCGCCTGCCTCCCACGCCTGCTCCAGAGCCTCGGCCGCAGCCTTCCCGCGTGCGTGGGCTCTCCTGCGGGGACTCCCGAGCGCCCAGAGCCCAGGCTCCGAGCGCAGCCCCGCTCAGCCTGCCCCGGCAGGTCCCACCGCGGCTGGTGCCCAGCGCCCTTCCCGCCCGGGCGGAGGCCTTTCATGTGTTCAGTCCTCAAACCCCGGCCCCCTCGGTGCCGGGCAGCGACTCCCCACTCGGGCTGCTTGTCAGTAAAGCCAATGGACACGCAGCCACACCTGTGGGTTCCGAGCGGCCACCTGCCCGCCCGATTGTGCCTCCGGCCCGGGACAACCACACTCCCCATGTGCTGACATGCTTTCCCCCCGAATTTTTTAAAAAGATATATTTTATTGATTTTTTACAGAGAGGAAGGGAGAGGGATGTAGAGTTAGAAACATCCATGAGAGAGAAACATCGACCAGCTGCCTCTTGCACGCCCCCAACTGGGGATGTGCCCGCAACCAAGGTACATGCCCTTGATCAGACTCGAACCTGGGACCCTTGAGTCTGCAGGCCGATGCTCTATCCACTGAGCCAAACCGGTCAGGGCAGGGTCGTGTGTGTTTTAATCCACAGCCCATGATTTGCATTATTTATTTATCCTTTCATAGAGAGGGCAAGAAACATCAGGTGGCCTTCCTGATGGGCCCCCACTAGGGATCGAACAGGGGGCGCGGGGGTACAAGAGGGCACGCAACCACCTGGGTAACTGGAGGGGCCCCACCCCTGTGTTGTACCTGTTCACAGGGGGCTGGTTCCTACGTTAGAGAGAAAACCCATGAGCCCGTTGGGCCACATCCAGCGTTTTATTTCGTCTCTAACCTCCTCTCCACACCAACTTCAAAGAAAAAAGCGAAGCGTTTGGCCCTGGATCTGCAAGTTCAGAACACGTTTATTAGCTAATCAGATAGCAGTCCCAAACGGCACCACCGAAACGGCACCGCACCGGGAGACTCATTTCCGCTCGGCCTTCAGGGACTCGGCGCGCAGGTAGCCCGTGTCCGTGTCCCCGAGTTCACCCCCCACCCCCGCCCGGCGGGGACTCAGGGACAGAGGGCCAGCCAGCTCTCATCATGCCCTGTGCAATCCGCAGGCCCGAAAAAGGGGCGCAGGGGCTCCTCAGCCGAAATGGCGGGGAACGTGAACACGTGGGACCCATCGGCCATGTGGTAGAAGGAGAAGGTCCCCATCTCCACGTCCAGGAAGAGGCCCAGGCGGCGCAGGCGGGGCTGGACCATGAGCCCCAAGGCGGGCTCGGTGCCGGCGATGAACTGGTTCCCGTCCTTGCAGCTCACGGTCCAGAAGCCGAGCTCCGCGGACAGAACCACCTCGCCCTGCCGGGGAGCCGACTCCCGGCAGAGGCCCAGGTTCCACTGCCGGCTGCGCCCCACGTCCACCTCCCAGTAGTGGCGACCAGAGGTGAAGCGGGGAGAGCCCAGGACACAGGGGGAGTCGTTGAATCTCCCAGGGTGGGCTCGGCGCCCCTGTGGGAGATCCCCGATGCGGACCCGCTGCAGGTCCTCGGAGATGGTGAGGTAGTTGTGGGCGGTGTCCACGTCCAAGGTCATGTCCACTGTGGAGAGAGAAAGGCTGGACTCAGCAGGTGAATGCCCTGCTCCTCCCCCTCCTTCCTGGCCACTGCCAAGGCCCCCCACACCTTCCTGTCTGCAGTGGGCATTTTCCTGGGGAGACTTCCCTGGCCCCGGATTCAATAGAATTTTATCTGCAGGAGGAATGATTATAATTGAGGAGCTAGTCTTTGTCCATCGTAGTTATTCTCTTGACAAGTGATTCAATTGAATAAGGACTTTTCTTCTCTCTCTCTTCTTTAATATATATATTGCTTTCAGGAAGGGAGAGGGAGAGAGAGAGAAACATCAATGATGAGAGAGAATCATGGATGGGTAACTTCCTGCATGCCCCCTACAGGGGATGGAGCCTGCAACCCAGGAATTGAACTGTGACCTCCTGATTCATAAGTTAATGCTCAACCACTGAGCAACACGGGCTGGGCTAAAATTTTTTTTTTTTATTATTGATTTCAGAGAGGAAGGGAGAGGGAGAGAGAGAAAGAAACATCATTGAGAGGGAATCACTGCCTCCTGCACGCCCCCTACTGGGGACCAAGCCAGCAACCTGAGAATCTGCCTGGACTGGCAATCAAACCATGACCTCCATTCATAGGTCGATGCCCAACCACTGAGCCACCCGGGCTGGGTGGGACTTCTTTTCTCTTTAGTACGGAATACACACGAAAAATAGACCACGAGTGCCATTTGTTCTCAAAATTATCATACAGCCCGGCAAGGGGCCCTGATCAATGATTCTCCCTCATCATGGATGTTTCTCTCTCCCTCTCCTTTCCTCTCGGAAATCAATAAAAAAAAAATTATCATGCAGATTATCACAAATTTCAAGGGATGGAAAATATTTTACTTCTTGCAGAATGATTTTGACGTTAAACATTAAAGCTTTCTCTGATCTCTTCTTTTAAAAAATGTTTTTTTACTGACTTCAGAAAGGAAAGGGAGCCGAACCGGTTTGGCTCAGTGGATAGAGCGTCGGCCTGCGGAATGAAGGGTCCCAGATTCGATCCCGGTCAAGGGCATGTACCTTGGTTTCGGGCACATCCCCAGTGGGGGGCGTGCAGGAGGCAGCTGATCGATGTTTCTCTCTCATCGATGTTTCTAACTCTCTATCCCTTTCCCTTCTTTGTAAAAAATCAATAAAATATATTTTTTTTAAAAAAAAGGGAAGGGAGAAAGAGAGAGAAACATCAATGATGAGAGACAATCAGCCAATCATTGATTGGCTGCCTTCAATCCCCAACGCCCCACACATGTGCCCTGACCGGGAATCAAACCTGGGACCCTTCAGTCTGCAGGCCGAGGCTCTATCCACTGAGGAACACCGGCGAGGGCTTACCCTGTCTTGATAAACACAGTTACCGTCCTCACTTGCTGGTGGTGACTAGGCCATGGCGCTTTACTGCAGTTACAATGAACAGGGAACAGGAGATGCTCGGAGTCCTGACATGAGGATGTGACAGAACCTCAGCAGCAACCTGGACCCAGACCCGATGGGGGCGGAAGGAGACTGAGTCTGCGCGGCCGGGCCTCCTGCTCTGACCCTCTCCCTGGGCAGGGAGAGAGGGCGTCCTCACAGGACCCGCACAGGGAGCCCACGCAGCCTCAGACATGAACCCTGCCCCCCACAGACCAATGGCGTTTGTTGTTTGCTTTCTTTCCTTTTAAACGAAAAAACAAATGTTTTTATTGGATTTTAGAGAGAGAAAAGGAGAGGGAGAGGTAGAGAATTAGCCATGAGAGAAACATGCATTGGCTGCCTCCTGCACGCCCCCTACTGGGGATTGATACCCCACACCCCTGTCTGTTTTAATTTGGTGGATGGTGTTAATCCTCACCCCAGGATCTTTTTTCCATTGCTTTTTAGAGTGCAAGCGAGGGAGGGAGTGGGGAGAGAGAGAGAGAGAGAGAGAGAGAGAGAGAGAGAGAGAGAGAGAGAGAGAGAGAGAAGCATTGATGTAGGTCGACTGGCTGCCTTCAGAGGGGCCGGGACAGTGTGGGCGGAGGGAGCCCCCAGCCCAGGTGGGTGCCCCTGAAGGGAATCTGAATCCCCGCCCCTTGGGCTGGTGCTCCTCTCAGTGAGCCCTACCGGCTGGGGCTCTTTTTAAATGTTTGAATTATTTTATTTTTCATCGTAATCGAACTTGGGGACTGAAGGGTCTCCAGGCCGACGGTCTTTCCACTGAGCCAAGCTGGCTATTACATGTCCACTGTAACTTAAAAGTAAATAGAAAAGATACTTAAAAAAAAATTTCCTTGCCCTGGCTGGTGTTTCTCAGTGGGTAGACCGTCGGCCTGCGGACTGAAGGGTCCCGGGTTAGATTCTGGACAAGGACACCTGCCCAGGTTGCAGGCTCGATCCTCAGTGGGGGGCGTGTAGGAGGCAGCCGATTCATGATTCTCATCATTGATGCTTCTCTCTCTCTCCCCCTCTCCCTTCCTCTCTGAAATCAATAAAAAAAATTTTTAAAAATTTTCTTAAAAACACATGAACAATAACAAGACTCGGGTAGTCCGTTGTCTGTAACATCCAGTCCACGCAAAATCAGGTTTCTGCCTGTGCCCGTCTCCAGTGGGACGACTGGGACTATTGGGGAGCCAGGTCTAGGGCGACACGGCGTTATATTTCCCTAAAAACCTACAGCCGGTTATCATGTAGACTCTTGTAGGCAAGAATGAACATTCCAGGTGCGGCCGCCAGGGGAGGCCCGCCTGTCACGGGGCCTCTGAGAAACTGCCTTCCCTCAGGGCCGGGGTAGGGCGCCCAGAGGTCTCACCATGGAACTTGCGAATCTTGGGGTCCATCTGCAAGACGGATGTCAGCTGGGGCTCCATCGCCTTGGCCTTGGCCGCCAGACTGCCCAGCACTCTGTTGGGCTTGATGTCGGCCGTCTGAGAAACTTTGGAGCAGTTGAAGCACCGCACCCCCTGGCCGCCCGGCTCCTTGGGCAGGGCGCGCAGGCACCGGCGGCAGCAGATGTAGCCGCACTTGAGGTTCACGGGGTCCTCAAAGTACGTGAGGCAGACGGGGCAGCGGGCGGCTTCCTTAAAGTGCTGGGCCATGGCCGCCGCCTGGGGGGGTAAGAGAGGGGGGAGCGGGCGCGGTGAGCCTCTCTTGAGGGAGAGGGACTCATGGATCCCGGGACGCCTCCTCTTTCTAGGATAGACATTTGCAACCAGGACCCCTGGGTGAGGAGGATGCAATCGAAGGGCCAATAGAAATGGCTCCAAGCCCTGAACTTCTGAGGTGCAACACGCTGGTTGGGGTGGGGCTTAGCCACAGTGAAATGCGTGCAGCCTAAGATTTTGAAGACCAGAAGGAAAGGTGCGCTCTCTTCTGCACAGCCCACCCCCCCCCCCCCCCAACTGATTCCCTGTTGGAAGGATCTACACCTGCCTGTCAGGAGAAAATTAGCGTTTAATTTTTCTTTAGGCTTCCACGCTTCCCCATGTGTTGGGAATCAAACCCGAGTCCCTTGGGAGGGAGGGCAGCTGCTCTAACCACTAAGCAAACCCAGCCGGACCTGGGTCGCTTTCCTTAGTCTTTGCTTATGGGGCTACTAGAACATGAGTTTACAACGACACTTCGGGGTCCCCTGATAGATCCAGTGGGAAGTGCTGGCTGAGACCTGAAACCCTCCGCGTCTTCCCGCTGCCCCCGCCCCACCCTGGATGGGGTGGAAACCCACCGCAGAACCCGAGAGGCGGAGGAAGTCCGTGGGGGACACGCCACGCACCGCCTCAGAGTCCGCCAAGCTCAGACCTGATGATCAAATTCTTACTCCCACCTGGTCCTGAATCGCAGAGTCCTGCCTGCCGCTCCCATCAGAGGCCCCTGCCCCTCGGTGTCCACGCCATGCCTGGCCTTGAGTTGGCCCCAGACAGCACCTGCTGAATCGATAGGTCCCTCCATTCCCAAGACCTTCTGCAGACACTTGAAAGTGAAAACGAAATCCCCTCAGATTGACTCACCTCTCAGACGCTAAGTCCTCTTCTGGCCTCTGGCTACTTCACTTGAAGGCTCAGCTGTGGAGTGAGGTCGACCAGCAAGCCAGCCGGTTTTATTGGGCAAGTAGCTCCTCCCACCTCACTCACTTCCTGTCCGTTACATCTAATTCCGTCAGATGTTGATGAAAATAATGGGATTTTCTCAGGTCAGAGAGATTACCAGGGACAAAGGAAGTGATTGTATACAGAAGTTATTTTTAAACTAACATGAACAAAATATTGCCGTGTATTCATTCTACATTAGATCTTAAATATTATGTCTGTCAATCCATTAGATTTAGGATTGAAATGAAAGACGGTCCTCATTATTAATCCTTCTAAAATGGCCTGGCTGGTTTGGCTCAGTGGATAGAGTGTCAGCCTGCAGACTGAAGAGTCCAGGGTTCGATTCCGGTCAAGGGCACATGTGGGGGGTTCCGGCTCCATCCCCAGTAGGGGGCGTGCAGGAGGCTGCCGATCCATGATTCTCTCTCATCATTGATGTTTCTAGCTCCCTCTCCCTCTCCCTTCCTCTCTGAAATCAATAAAAATATAAAAAATAAAATAAAAAGAATGAGATTAGGTTTTTTTTTTGTTTGTGTGTGTTTTAGTTTTTTGTTTTTTGTTTGTTTTTGTGGCTAGTTTTAAATGGCTTTAATTAAAAAAATTGTATTTATTGTTGAGATATTACAAATGTCCCCTTTTGTTCTCCCACTGACTCCTTCAAGCCCTCCCCTGCCCCCTGAGGCCCTCACCACCCCATTCTCTGTGTCCATGGGTTACGCATACAAGTTCTTTGGTTAATCTCTTCCTACCCACCCACTCATGAAAAATGAGCCCTGCCCTAACTGGTTTGGCTCAGTGGATAGAGCCTCGGCCTGCAGACTGAAGGGTCCCAGGTTCGGTTCCGGTCAAGGGCATGTACCTTGGTTTCGGGCACATCCCCAGTGGGGGGTGTGCAGGAGGCAGCTGGTTGATGTTTCTCTCTCATGGATGTTTCTAACTCTCTATCCCTCTCCCTTCCTCTCTGTAAAAAATCAATGGAGAAAATATCCTCCAGTGAGGATCAGCAACAACAAACTAAATGTTAATATTCTCAGTGTTTACATGTGAAAGCTCTTGAGCATCTGAAACTGAAGAAAAGCTTGAATTGCTTTTCCTCTGATACAAGGTCCTCTCTTGGGAAATAAAAATATTCTCTTTCAATAGTAAAATCTAATCCTTTTGAATGTTGGTGACTCATTTGCCTAAAAAACATTTGGAATCAGCTCTGGTGGGCTCAGTTCCTCGGAGTATTGTCTCATACATCAAAGGCTGCAGATTCGATTCCAAGTCAGGGCACATACCTAGGTTTGGGGTTCAATCCCCAGTTGGGGCACATACGGGGGCAACTGACCGATGTTTCTCTCTTTAAAAATCAATAAAAACATATCCTTGGGTGAGGATTAAAAAACTTCAAAAAAAAATCATTGACATATCCGCCCCTCCCAAATGATTTTTAGAGAGAGTGGAAGGGAGGGAAGAAGGAAGAATTGAGAGAGAGAGAGAGAGAGAGAGAGAGAGAGAGAGAGAGAGAGATGATTGGTAGTGCCTCTGTTGCCTTTGGGGTGCAAGATTGAACCTGCAACCCAGATATGTGCCCTTGGTTGGGAATTGAACTTGAGACCCATTGGTGCTCGGACCAATGCCCTAACCACTGAATTACACTGGCCATGGCTCATTGGTTGATTGTTGACCTATGAACTAGGAGGTCACCATTTGATTCCTGGTCAGGCACCTGCCTGGGTTGTGGGTTTGATTTCCAGTGTGGGTGTACAGGAGGCAGCCAATCCATGATTCTCTCTCATCATTGATGTTTCTATCTCTCTCTCCCTTCCTCTCTGAAATCAATAAAAATATATTGGAAAAAAAGAATTAACCAATGAAAGCATAAATAAGTAGAACAACAAATCAATGTTTCTCTCTCAATCAATCAATAAAAAAAATCTTGGTAAGAGTATCGATCTCATGTTCAGTGTTCCTACCTCAATTACCAAAAAAAAAAAAAAAAAAAAAAAAAAAAAAAAGATTCACAAATTCTAGCTTCTGCCCTTCCCATCCAGAGCTTGTTATCCAAGAATAGTCTTTGAATAGTCATGAGTAGTCAGTCATTGACATCCTCCTTATGCACGAAGGCTGCGTTCTAGGTGCTGCTATGAGATGTACAAGATAACTTCTCGGCCTGACCTGCGTGGCTCAGTGGTTGATCATGACCTATGAACCAGGAGGTCACAGTTCAATTCTCAGTCAGGGCACATGCCCGGGTTGTGGGCTCAATCCCCAGTGTGGGGTTTGCAGCAGGCAGACGATCAATGATTCTCTCTCATCATTGATGTTTCTTTCTCTCCCTCTCCTTTCCTTTCCTCTCTAAAATATATATATATATATATATATATGTTTTTTTCTGTTGGGAAGCATAGAGTATGGGGAAAGCAGACCCTCATGTTATGAGCAGAGTGGCCCGTCACTGGCGGTACGAGAAGACTGCTGAAGCGCAGAGCTTACTGATGTCAGAGAGCGAAAGTCTATTGGCAGTGCCTGGGGATATGCCGGGAGAAGATCCTTACCACCTGAAACAAGCTGCAACAGTTTCACATCACCCACCGAGCCTCATCAACCAAGAGTCACGCTGGCCAATGGGAGGGGAGAGATTCCACAGCCAATCAAAGGGCAGGCACGGCCTTATAGTCTTGGTGCCCACAGATGCTCTCTGATGGGGACCAGCCTGGAGGACCAGCGGTCGGATTGGGTGAGGATGCCTTCTTTCGAGCCTTCCTTTCTTCTCTCTCTCTCTCTCTCTCTCTCTTTCTCTCCCTCCCTCCCTCCCTCCCTCCCTCCCTCCCTCCCTCCCTCTCTCTCCCCTCTTCTCAGCACTTCCTGCAGGTCTAGAGTGCATAAAGAACGAGGTAGCGGGCACCCAAAAGAACCAAGTCCTGCCCCTTCGTTGTGGGAAGGATGCTCTAAGGGGAAACGCGTTTACATTCAAGCAGAGATGGTGCACCAGCACTTCTCTTGAAACCTCTGTGTTTCCAATGCTGAACTGGGTGAGAGAACAGGACCGAGGCTTCCTAGTTTTTTCAAAGGGAATCGGAGCCCTGGCCGGGTAGCTCAGATGCTAAGAGCGACCTCCCCATACGCCAAGGTTGCAAGTTTGATTCCCCGGCACATACAAGAGTCAACCAATGAATGTATAAATAAGTGGAGAGCAACAAATCTCCCCCCCCCTCTCTCTCTGTCTCTCTCTCTCTCTCTCTCTCTCTCTCTCTCTCTCTCTCTCTCTCTGTCTCTCTCTCTCTCTCAAATCAATAAATTAAAAAAATAAATACAATGAAACAAAATTGAATCAGAGACAGAGTTGGAAGACCTTGGGTAGTGGAACTAAGGAGACATGATGAAGATCCCCAAAGCCAAAGTCTTGGCTGGTCTCTCGGTTCTGATTGTGGGATTCACGGAACCTGGGGAGACAATGAAAACCAGGTCCGGGCGATTACGGAGGGAGGGGCGGGCGGGCAAACGGGAGGTTTGAGTGTGAGACTTGCTGTCTTGGTCATTGAGATGGATGATTGGCTTCCAGCTCCTAATCTTTCACCATCGGAAGTTCCAGTGGGACCGAATTTTACCCCAAATCACATGTAAATGGTAATGTGGCTGCTGCCGGTCGGGCGTGGCTGCAGAAGTGGAAGGAGAGGGGGTGGGTCAGGTGCTGTGAGTTGTGGAGACCGAGGCAGGTTGTGCCCAGACGGTGCGCTGTGCCCAGATGGTGCGTGAGTGGTTAGGGTGTTTCCAGGGGGTTGCCCACCTCTGGACCCTGCAGTGTGCGGGACGGGTGTTAACCTGCTGCATCCGAAAGGGCTTCAGGGGACACGCGCATTGTGTTCAGGAGATTTCAGCTAGAAAAGCAAGGAGAGAGGAATGTTTAGAGAAAAGCCTTATGACACAAGCTTTTTAAATTGTGGTAAAATACCCATAAAACAAAGTTTCCTATTTTAACCGTTAAAATGTATTTATTTATTTATGCGCGCGAGAGAAGCACTGAT